ATTAAAAAGAAACAAAAAAAAACAAGCACACACACACACACACACACACACACATTGCTGAGTCCCATTGCCTAAGTCTTTGATTCATTAGATCTATGGTGGGCTTGAGAATTTGCATTGGTAATGAGGGCTGTAGAATGTGTTGTGCTCCCCCCAAGTTCATATGTTGGAGCCCAGACACCCAGAGTGGCTGTATTTGGAGATAGGGCCTGTAGGAAGTAATGTTAAATGAAGTCATAATGTTGGCCTCCTACTCAGATAGCACTAGTGGCCATAAAAGAATAAAGAGCTCTCTCTATAGGATTTTGTTGGGCAGTCAAAGCAGATAAACACAGAGACCTGATGAGGCAATGCTGATCTCACTGGTCTGAAGACCCCTCTTTAATCCCACTTGTCTACTGCAATGGACAGTGCCACAACTCTGAAGATTTTCTGTTGATTACTTCTCACAGATTTTTATATGGCACCCTGTTTTCAGTGCTAGGTAGTGTCAGCCAAGGACTGTGGAAAACCAGTGACAGGAGGTGCCATTGATGGATCTCACCAGGTTATCTTCTGTTCAGGAGTGAATGCTGACTGCTGAGTGCTCCTATCTAAGACTCTGCTCACAAATCTGTTATGAGTCCTCCATTCTGGAGTGGGAGCAAGTTGCTGACCACAAACAAACAAACTTTGTACCTTTAGCTTTATTTTTATTATTTGTTCCTCTCTTCTATTGAACTGCAGTTAATTTTTTTATCATCATAGTTTGCTATAGTGGTGAAAAAAAGAAACACACTGTGGCACTCGAGGAAGTTCAAGGTGCAGTTTAGGCACTTGACGAGCAAAGTGGAAGGTGGGAAAGAAGGTGAGAAGACTGCTGGTCTTGGGGTTCAGCTCTTTCCTTCCCTCACTGATGTCCTCATACACTGGCTCTTCCTTCCGGCCCCCAAGAAGCATCAGCTATCACTCCTTTCACAACATACAAAGCTTCAGGAAAAATGAGATGTTTTAAAACATGTTTCTAACATTTTCTAATATATTGTGAACATGCTTTTCTTCAACCTCCAGAAATCCTTTATATGGGAAGAACTGGGCTGAAATCAAGACTGACTTTTCAATCTGCATAAAAATGCACTCTTTTCTTTGTACTTCCAAACGTGTAGATTATTATTGTACTTTAATAACTCGCATTGAAAATAAGTTCACCACATGCTTCCTACCTTTTGAGACACTCTGTAGGTATCCAATTCTTTCATTCACATACCATCTGTTCCTAGCTGTTTCCTAGTTTGAATAAAATATAGACTTAAACATTAACTTGTCCCACCTTCAGGCAGTTGTTTCAAGGGAAGACTGAATCAGGATTTTAGGGGGCTTAACATGTGGCTTGCTCTGTGGCCCTACTCTCAGGCTTGATAGAACTTGGTTGGGGCCTAGGAATGGCTGCTTTTCACAAACATCCATAGGTAATGGTGCGAGCTGCAATTGAGAAAGTCCTTAGTTGATGGCATGACAGTCTTCCGTGTGGGAATTCAAGGTTGTAGTCCTTCATATGGGAGAAGACCAGAGAAGATACAAGGGTTTGTCTGACTGAGTGGAATAAAATTGAGTATATAATTACCTATTTTTCAGCTAAAATATGTTGGTATCTCTAATCCTTTTCCTAGAATGGCCTCTAGATGCTTTAAAGTGAATTTCAGTCTTCACTTCTGAGTCATTTCCACACTCCCATTTTCTATTTTCTATGCTAAATAATCTGTAGAACAGCTGATGCAATGAAAAGAGTGGTTGATGCAGCAAGTTCTGCATTTTACAGTATTCTGCATATGTCAGAAAGGGAAAAAAGGCAATTTAATAAAAATCCTTAATTTGTTGTTTTAAGGAGGTAATGTTTGCTGTAATTGGATTTTTCTTGCTCCTTCATGGCAACATTCAATTTTAAATACCCATTCAGTCATTCTTAACTAAGACTGAATTATATTGGAACTTCTGTAGAAGTACTTGTGACATCTGCTTGAATGCAAAGTATATTCATTATAGTCATTGCAATTAAAATGAATATCAAATGGGTTTGTAATGGCTATGCACTTAAAATGTTATTCTTTATTTTAAGAACCTTAACCCTCCATAGTTAGTTCAGAGCTCTGTTGTTTCTAAGACAGGACAAAAAAGTTGAATTACATATAGCTCTCATTTTTATTTTGATAGATGTTTATTTGTACCATTAGCTAGCAAATGTAGAATTGTTCATTACTGGTTTCTTAGAGCTTTAACAAGGATGGTAATAGATTGCTTGCAATGTCCTCCTTTTTACTATTATAATAGTAATAAATGGAATTGATTTTAAAATGACTTTTGCTATTTATCATTGTATCTAATCTTTCATTATGACTACTAGATCAATTGCTCTTAGTCAACTTTATAAAAGACATAGAAATAACACAAATGAAAGTATTATATTTGACATAAAGAGGCACTCTGGAATAAGTCATACTAATTTGGGAATTAACAAATTGGTTCTATCACATTGAGGATATTATGCTAATATGCTTTATATTTATAGCCTCAGAACCACAGATGTAATGTATGAACCTGTAAAAGACAAAAATCATTAAACAATGAGATCTACATTTGAAATGAGAACCTTAAGAACCTGAATTTGACAAATGTGACAGTGAGAGAAAGTTGTGTTAGGTTTTAATTGAGTAAAGTATTTGCAATCCAAATGCTTTTAGATGGCTGAACTGTTTCTCCATAGTTGGACCAAATTTATTAGCCTATTTTTAGAGTGCTTATTTGTATATGTTGAAATGCACTGTAGTCATAAATTTATTGTACAAATCATATACTTTCTAATTAAGAACTTCCTGATGAAGTATTTATACCTCTGTAAACATTGATTTTATTGCAGAGATATCAAGGTGTTGTGTTTACTATTTTTCTGACTATATTTAATGATGTTTCATTAAACCCTGGTTTCCAGGGTTTCATTTCTTTTAATTTCTCAATGTAGGCTAGTTCTCATAAGTCATACTTTTATTGTTTTTTTTTTTTCTAGAAAGAGGACATATAAATTATCTATCCTTTTGGGTAGTTTACTATTAGATTTTGTATCTATTGAAAAGGAGTTATGTTCACAATTTTCCCCAAAAAGTAAAATGTGTAAAATTCAATATACTTTGATGTTAGTAAACTGTGATTTAGTGGCAACCAAAGGAGATGAAAAAATGACTGTGGCATTGTAGCTTATAACCTATTTTGAGCAAAGCTTCTAAACTTTGGCACAGTTATCAAGCAAAGGAATTTTCCAACTTTGTGCTGTGTATTCTAAGAAACCATG